TCCAGGATTAAGAGTTGACTATGATTCCAGCATCTTTCTTCCCAAAACTGAGTACAGGGCTCGCAAAATCGCTAGCCCGACGTCCCGGGGCTATTTGTGTTTTCCAGTCAGGCTACCAAAATGTATCACCACTCTGCCCGACGGGCTATCTTAAATGCAGATCTCCCGCGGGTCCTTAAAACTCCTAAAGTGAGTTGTATCAAAGTTTTAAATACGTTAAATGGTACAAGAAATGTCTTAATTATAATTTCAAGAGGTCTTACAGTTGTGGACAGAAACACAAGAGTCGTGATACGGCTGGATTAAACTTCAAAAGGCAATGATGTAATTGAATAAATATGAGCCCTGCACGTTTCGTCAAAACGCGGCGCGGATGTCTTGATTTTGAATGCATCTGAAGGGAACCAACTGTCCTCAGAAACATGTCGTTGGCATTTTAATTTCATCTTACCTATAATTCCTGATAAAGCAGTGTTTATGAGCCTGGAGCTGCTTTGTGTACAGCCGTTACTAGGGAAACCGCAATATTTCAGCGCTCCTAAAGTGCCACCTCGTGGCAGAGAATGAATTTGCATTTCCAATAAGCCTTTCATGCGGTTTATGTTCAGATCAATGAAAATATCAACTCTTGTTTTTAGCAGCCAGCAAACACAGTGTTGTAAATGAGAAATTTAATGTGCCTTCTAAAAATCTAAACAATTAAGACAGTAATATTTATAGGCCTACGTTTTAAATTAACAATTTATATGCTTGATTTATTCCTTTTCATCATTTGTTTTTGTGAAAACCTGTATCTGAACTGTATTTTTTGTGAAAACCTGTATCTGTAAATCATGTAATTTTATGGCTCAGTACTGTATGTTACCACAGACAATGTCCAACCCCACTCATACTGTGTTCATTTTACATGTGCAGCTCTTAAAATGGGTCATAAATTGCCTTACATTTATTTTTTTTAATTCTGCAGATACCCTGTAAATAGTGAAATAAAATTCCTTCCTTCATATTTGTTGATATTTGTGTATTGAAAATAGTTTTGATTGACATTTAAACTACTACTTGACTTTCTTTTTTTCTTTTCTTTTTTTTTGTTAAAGGTCTTTTTTATTTGGGCTAGTTAAATTAATTTCCGGGCTACCAAAATCTGAAGAGTACCTGCCCGAAGGGCTACCAGTAGGGATGTAATGATTAACCGCGAGCCGGTTGAAAATCGATTAAAATATGTGACGATTCAAATCGGTTGAGATGCTAAACAAAATCGCGATTCATTTAGGTGTAGGAGTTTGTATGCATGAATGCATGTCTGAGGGGAACTTACTGTCTTTAGAAAAGTTTATTTTCATCTTGCCTCTGTATAATGCATATTAAAGTTCATAAGTGCAGCGCTGCTTTGTTTACAGCGGAAACCGAGGAAACGCTTTAAGCGCCACCAGCTGGCAGAGAGTGAATCTGCGTCTCATTCAGCTCGTCCGCTGTTTCATGCAGATATTTTTATGTATAGTTTCACCCTAACCCTAAGTCAAACCATATCGTTTTTGCTTCAAATTTCTAAATTATACAATTAATTATACAATTATAAAATTTTTAGATTAAAAACTGCTCATGTTGTATGTATGCAGCATCTTTGTTTGGATCAAGAATAAATGCAGTGGTTGCCTCTAATTTTAAATGGAAAGAGCACAGACAAAGCCTTATTTTGTTTATATGAAGAGATTTATTTTATTTGTGTTACTTATTTATTTTATTTGGGGCTTGTTTTAAAATGTCAATGTAGTTTTGTTATTTACATTTACATTATATTTAAATTTTGTCATTTAGCCAGAGAATGAATTTGCATTTCCAATAAGCCTTTCATGCGGTTTATGGTCAGATCAATGCAAATATCAACTCATGTTTTTAGCAGCCAGCAAACACAGTGTTGTAAATGAGAAATTTAATGTGCCTTCTAAAAATCTAAACAATTAAGACAGTAATATTTATAGGCCTACGTTTTAAATTAACAATTTATATGCTTGATTTATTCCTTTTCATCATTTGTTTTTGTGAAAACCTGTATCTGAACTGTATTTTTTGTGAAAACCTGTATCTGTAAATCATGTAATTTTATGGCTCAGTACTGTATGTTACCACAGACAATGTCCAACCCCACTCATACTGTGTTCATTTTACATGTGCAGCTCTTAAAATGGGTCATAAATTGCCTTACATTTATTTTTTTTAATTCTGCAGATACCCTGTAAATAGTGAAATAAAATTCCTTCCTTCATATTTGTTGATATTTGTGTATTGAAAATAGTTTTGATTGACATTTAAACTACTACTTGACTTTCTTTTTTTCTTTTCTTTTTTTTTGTTAAAGGTCTTTTTTATTTGGGCTAGTTAAATTAATTTCCGGGCTACCAAAATCTGAAGAGTACCTGCCCGAAGGGCTACCAGTAGGGATGTAATGATTAACCGCGAGCCGGTTGAAAATCGATTAAAATATGTGACGATTCAAATCGGTTGAGATGCTAAACAAAATCGCGATTCATTTAGGTGTAGGAGTTTGTATGCATGAATGCATGTCTGAGGGGAACTTACTGTCTTTAGAAAAGTTTATTTTCATCTTGCCTCTGTATAATGCATATTAAAGTTCATAAGTGCAGCGCTGCTTTGTTTACAGCGGAAACCGAGGAAACGCTTTAAGCGCCACCAGCTGGCAGAGAGTGAATCTGCGTCTCATTCAGCTCGTCCGCTGTTTCATGCAGATATTTTTATGTATAGTTTCACCCTAACCCTAAGTCAAACCATATCGTTTTTGCTTCAAATTTCTAAATTATACAATTAATTATACAATTATAAAATTTTTAGATTAAAAACTGCTCATGTTGTATGTATGCAGCATCTTTGTTTGGATCAAGAATAAATGCAGTGGTTGCCTCTAATTTTAAATGGAAAGAGCACAGACAAAGCCTTATTTTGTTTATATGAAGAGATTTATTTTATTTGTGTTACTTATTTATTTTATTTGGGGCTTGTTTTAAAATGTCAATGTAGTTTTGTTATTTACATTTACATTATATTTAAATTTTGTCATTTAGCAGATGCTTTTGTCCAAAGCGACTTACAAATGAGGACAATAGAAGCAATCAAAACCAACAAAAGAGAAGTAATACGCAAGTGCTATATTAGTATATTATTACAGTGTTATATTTCAATTTCACAAAGAAATGTGCAGCATTTTGTCCAAGTAATAATAACAGGACACATTTAAATTTATATATAATAATCGTGAATCGAATCGAAAAATCTAAATCGTGAATCGAATCGAATCGTGAGTTAAGTGAATCGTTACATCCCTAGCTACCAGGGATTTTGAAATTTTGCGAGCTCTGGAGCAGCAGCATTAGTGTGATCAGACTCAAAAAGCTCACAGGAGTCTGAATGTATTTTAACAATCCCCCCATTAATTGGGTCCCTTTCTGAAAATGCTGACTAGGGATGGATGGATTAAACAAACTGAGCCACCTCAGTAAAAGTATTGTATAGAGAAAAATGGCAAGAAGATACTAACATTTTAAAAACAACATTAAATAAATAAATGACTGGTATACAGTAGTAAGGTACAAAGGCTATGTAACTGTTAAAGGGACTGTTTTCCCAATAAATTGTCATAATTTACTCACCTTCATGTTGTTCCAAACCTGTATGACTTTCTTTCACAAAATACAAAAGACATTTTAGCAAAACCAAAGACTCAGTCACCATTCACAATTGTGTGGAAAACACATGCAATGAAAGTCAATGGTGACTGAGGCTGTTAGCGCTTAATATTCTGGCTAAGATTTGCTTTTGTTGTCTGCCAGCCCATCAACAGTCTGTGAAAACAAAAATAAATTAGCTTTTGCTCTCTCATGCATCGCCTCTAAGTTAACCCATTTACTGTAAAAAACTTGTGACAAAACATGGTTTAAAAAAAAAGCAGCTCCACAAAGGCAGCCGTATAGGCATGTAAATGTCATACTAAGAGGGACCACTGCTCTATTTTGTCATTAATGTAATAACACTGCCCTCATCTCGCTCCCTCTAAATGATCTAAAAAGCATTCAGACCAATCTCCAATCCCCACAAGTGGATTTTGGTCCAAAAAAGCCTTGCAAGGTGCATTAGCAATACCTCTCATTCACTCGAGTGGACTGGCATGCTAATGCGACTTGCCAGTGCAGACAATGTTCGGGAGCACAAAGGCGGCACTGTGCTGAAGGTCTTTTATTAGAAATTCTACATATACGATTAATAAACATCACATCGGCGCTATCCCGTGGGATGTGGTGCCAGAAAAATGTGTCACTGATAATGGAGGAGTATCCATCTTGTTTGCCTGTCATGTTGCCTTCCCAGAGCCACATCTGCATGAAAAAGTTATAGAACAGTGCTTGTGAAAACAAATTAGTGGACTGAAATTAATTGTTGCACATAACCATTCATACCTTAGCATGTACTTGCAAGCCTGTATATTAGAAATACTGAAATGGATAGTTCATCCAAAAATGTTGTCATCAAGCAAGCAATGAATAAAAGCCTAAATTAAATCTGTAAAAGCAATCATGTCTCTTCAAAAGACTTGGAATAAACCAGTCGATTCATATGGATTATCTTTACAATGTATTTTTGTAGTTTTTAAAGTGTCATAGTTTGGGTATATCTTCACTTGCGTTTCAAAGATGAATGAAAGTCTTATGGGTTTGGAATGACATGAGGGTGTGTAACAGATGGCAACTCTTGGGTGAATATCCATTTTTAAGATTCCAATATATTCTAGAACATTATGAACTTTCACTACATTTCTTAAGCTCAAGTACCGTTTATAGTATTCTTCCCTTGTAACACTGTGTAGAAGTGAAGACACATGCTGTGTTTGAAACCTCAATGAGGATTACAGAGAGACATGCCCTGTCAGAAACATGACGAACGGGTTGATGGTTTCATTTACAGTTTGATTTAGAATCTATTAACACAAGTCTAGGGGTGGCACGATACCATTTTTTCAGAACCGATCCCGATGCGATACCAAAAGTTCTGAGTATCAGACAATAACGATACCAGCACAGTTTTTGTTTTGTTTTTTTCTATACCTCAGTGTGTGTTGACCTGATCATCACTCTTTTGTGTGTTACACACAATCTACTAAATATAGACAACTTCATTATAAAGAAAAATAACAAATTAAAAATTATATAATCATAACCTATGAGAAAAATACTATTATAAACTAGGTTAGTGGATAATTCAGCAGCAAAAGTTACTCTACAAAAATGATGAGTTCACAATAATTTTATAAAATCTAAACATTTAGAGAAAAAACGTTATTTAGTGGGGGAAAAATGAAAAGTAAATAGGTGTAATCTGGTAAAATGTTACACATTGCTCTACGTATTGTAATATACATTCATGAAAAACAAGTAAATATAATTATATATAAATACACAATAAACAAAATAAATTTATTTTACATTTATAGCACAGTAATGAGGCAGCAACATATGATAGATAAGACAGAACAAGAAAGGCTATTAATCTTTCATTGCGCAAAAGTATTAACATGAAAGTAGGCCTAGGCGATAAAACGGTATTGATATTTATCGACGGTACACCTTCTTCGATATCGACAGAAAAAATGTTCAATATAGCACACGATATAGGCATGTGCTATGAGTGACACAGACAGCACACACAAACACGAACACATGCTGAAATTAGTGAGTGCAGTGCCTGCTTGTGATGAGGAGATTGTGAATAAAGAATGAATATTAGTCAAATTTAAAATAAACATTTGCATTTGAGTGTTAGGTGTGCATCAGGGAGCGTCATCAGTGGCGCGTGAGATGCGGTGATGATGTACGTGACGTTGTTGCATTTTAATGTTTTGTTAGTCTTGCCCACGAGATGCGCCGCTGCTGTAATGCATTCAAAATATTAGAGAAATATAGAAGCTCAATGCGGAGAAGATCTTGAATGGGTTAAAACCGAAACCAAGCCATTCACACAGAACGCATATTCAGCGCATTTTTAGACGGACAAATATGACTGCTGCACTCGCGTCTCACAGAAGAGATGAATAGAAAGCCATGCAAAGTTAAAACAGTTTAAACTTTTAGAAAACACGTCACAAATTTGTGGAGGTTTATTCCTTTTCACTGCGTCTCATATGTTTTTAAATGCAGTCTGTGTGAATGACGCTTCGGCTCTTTGGATTAAGCAATGCAGAAATACATGATGCTGTTTTGTTCATAATTGTTTATGCAATTTACGAAATTATATTTAATTTTTATGAGTTAATTTAGACGTAATGCACGTTTTTATAGAGTTACTTGCTAAATGCGCTGCATTATTTTGCTCATTGTGCCCTCCTGTGGCCTCGGGAGACAATTAGACCTATACAATAAAGACCTATTTAATCTGCATATAAAACATTAGAGATACGTTTAATTTTTATTGTGTTTGATTGTTAAAACAAAAATTATTTGTTGTCTCAATAAATTGTGTTAATTATAAATACAGTTGTTAAATTAAAAAAAAAATTCTATTGCTTTTTGTTTTAAAAAAAAGTTATGAAAAATGTCAATAATTATCGATCAATATGAAACATTATATCGTTGATAAATTTTTTTAGCTATATCGCCCAGCCCTACATGAAAGGCTCCAATACAGAGCGGCACAAAGCACTTATGCGCATCCCGTGTGTAGAATGATGCGTTTGAAGCAACGCGGAGTTACAGCGCGCAGCGCTCCGCATAGAAAAGTTCAAAGCACAAAGGTAAGAGATACTGATGCGTAGTGTATTAAATCCGTGCGTTAGTTTATTAAGCCTTTTCTTTTAACCATTTTAAATTTCAGTTACTGTGCACGTGAGGAACAATTCATAGTGCTCTGTACTCCAGTGTAGTTAACTCTAACAGACACGCGGTAGAAAGTAACATGATTTAGAATTAGCTATAAACTCTCCAGCAAGATAAAGTCCTTTTATGCAAAACCGCTGATGTTTATCTACAGATCAAGTATAATAATGGGAATATTGTATCATCGTGGAGAGAGTTTCGTCATCTTGACTGTCGTAACTGAATGCCACACGCAGCTTGAATGCTGAATGGAGGATGACTGACAGCCACAGCAGCAAGAAGAGTTTACATCAACTTGAATTTATTGAATTTATTCGTACCTCACATTAAACTATGGAATGGTCTCAGAACACTTGAAATATAGTGTACGTAAAGTTTATGGTGCTTTAAAATGTTTTTGTGCCTTTCGTGGGGCTTAACAATAACACAATAGTAAACGCACTATATCGGATTTGGATCGGTCACGTCTGACCGATACCCCGATCCAGCAGAAAATGCCAGTATCGGAGCAATACCGATCCTGAATATCGGCTCGGCGCACCCCTACACAAGTCCTGTGCTGGAATTCAAAAACAGACGAACAAAACAAAAAGGCCCAGATAACAGGGAAAGACATTTTTAAAAGTTCTATTTATTTTAATGACACAGCATAAAAACAAGACATTAATGACCAGAGACACTGAAAAATAAATTCAGTGATCCAAAGATGTCCATCTAGCACAGTGGTTCCCAAACTTTTTCTGCCGGGCCCCCCTTTTGTAAATATATATAGGTTTTTTGTTTTTTTTGTGGAAATGCTACTTCTGATTCTTCATATTGCTGTCTCTTTTATCACCTGCATTATTATGGTACCATATATACCACTGATCTAGCATGTTTAGATTTAAAAAAAAATAGGGCTGCTGATTCTACGTGTTAATTTGGTGCAATCACAACATGATCTAAATAGAGATGAATTTGGCCCAAATTGCTGGGACTGTTGCAAAGAGGACTGTTTTCCAATATGCCTTGAATAAAAACAAAGCAAGTAAAGCCTGTAGCCCTGCTACATTGAGAGCTCAGGGATTGTTCTCCTTCAGCAGCCCCGTAGCAGACCAATAGAGATAAATGTAATCACTGCACTTTGTTCTCCCCTGTGATATCACACCTTCTTATTACTTCTCAACCGGTCTGCCTCTCAGTCCAAGATCAAAGTCTTATTTTGTTGCACATTTGCTTTGGGCTTCAACCCTCTCCAATTTCAGCAAGTAATCACAACTCAGTGTTGTTGCCCTTAGACCAAAGACACATCGGGCCTGTTTACACCTGGTAATTTCATGCATTTTCGCTGATCGGATATCTATCTGATTTGTTAAACTGTTTCCATTTACAATTGGCCACATAAATCGTTTTGGACCAAAATCGTCGTAAAACGGATTTAAATCCGATCTTCAATTGCCGTGCTATATTTAAATTGAATCAAAAGATAAGCACTGCATTTCATTAATTATCAGCTCAGTTAAAGATCAGTTAAAGATCAAAGAAATAAGAGAGTGCGCGGCATCAGCACTGGAAAGATAAGTTTGTCTTACTACTTTTACTGAAGATAATTGTGTGTTGACCATCTGCGTCTTACTTCATTTCATTCGGCTTGCTGAAGAGATACTCAGCTACTTGTCTGCGACGATGTGTGTTGCATTAGCGCTGTCATATCTGACTATAATGCCATACAGCCTATAGCACGCTCTCACACATTTATTATTTTAAAATTTTTGGAGGAGTAAAATTTACACATGTGGTTTCAACAACCAGATGAATTTACATTGGTCCAGTTTCGTCTGGAATGCAGCCAAGACCACCTCCTGAAGTGGTTTGAGCGATCGGATTTATATCCATCTCGGATGCATTTCGGAGGGCATTTACACCTGGTCTTTTCACGATCGGATAGCTATCCGATCAGAAAAAATGCATGAAGTGACCAGGTGTAAACAGCCCCATCAAGTCACAAGCTACCCGTGCTAAAGATGTGGGAAATGCCAATATCATTGTTGGTTGTCCTTTTAAGATTATCTAAAAATAAACTATGTAAAATGAGAAGTTTAGGATTTGAAGCCAGTCTTAGATCAGTGAAAAGTTAATTCTAACAGTGCATGTGAATCCTGCCCTGACATGTACAGTGGGTACGGAAAGTATTCAGACCCCTTTAAATTTTTCACTCTTTGTTATATTGCAGCCATTTGCTAAAATCATTTAAGTTAATTTTTTTTCCTCATTAATGTACACACAGCACCCCATATTGACAGAAAACCACAGAATTGTTTACATTTTTGCAGATTTATTAAAAAAGAAAAACTGAAATATCACATGGTCCTAAGTATTCAGACCCTTTGCTCAGTATTTAGTAGAAGCACCCTTTTGATCTAATACAGCCATGAGTCTTTTTGGGAAAGATGCAACAAGTTTTTCACACCTGGATTTGGGGATCCTCTGCCATCCCTCCTTGCAGATCCTCTCCAGTTCTGGCAGGTTGGATGGTAAACGTTGGTGGACAGCAATTTTTAGGTCTCTCCAGAGATGCTCAATTGGGTTTAAGTCAGGGCCCTGGCTGGTTTAAGGGGGTCTGAATACTTTCAGTATAAGTACTTTTAACTGTATGTCTCTGTATTTTTTTAAATCCCTATAACTGTGGCAAGTTTAAGCTCATCAAAAGGAAGCGGTGATGACAAAGGTGGCCTTTAAGAAAGGCCTTTGACTGAAGACAAACCAGGGAAAGTAACATTTATCAAAGTCTAATACCAGGGCTGCTGAAGCAAATAGAAAATGTCATTTATCAAGATATGCCACAATGCCAGACAACCCATAACATTATTATGGATTTCTCTGCTAAAACAGATATGAATGTTTTTTTAGAAATGCAGATATTTTTAGATATCTGAATTATTATCAAACCATGTAATGAAAGTAATAAAATTCATTCCTAAATTTAGTATGTTCTTTAAACAGGTCTTGAACTCAACCATAACCCAGTTTTCACTAAGGGAGATTTTCAGCAAATAATTTACTTGTGCTTGAATTCATGATGTGTCAGATGACCCTTTTGTGGGTCACTTAATTATTTTATAAATGTGCTATCTGTGATTGCGCTTTATACTCACCACTAGAGTCTTTGCCAACAAGACAAGAAAAAGATTGCCACATACAAGTGTTTCTATACCTTCTCTATTTTCAGATTATCTTCTTATCCAAATTTCATTATAATTAATTGAGC